TGACCCCATTTACCAGGAAAAATTGCTGAGCCAAGCTGTAATGCAGAATCAACAAACAGAGCCTGGGATGCTTTGGTACCTCCCATTTCATCTCCTCCAGAAAGGAAAAGAGTCCCGGGGAGAAGTATCAAGTCTTTTCAGGCATTTTGTGTTGAGTTTACTTGCATATTCCCGAAATATCTTGGGTTTTCATCCCTCCTTTCCCCTTCCTGAATGATAGTTCATTGCTGATAGGATCCATACTGATTTTCTGATCACATGCAGAAAAAAAAGCACCTCAGCAAAAGAAGAATCCATAGTATTTAAGAAAAAAACACGATTAAAATCCTATGTGCAAATAATCTGTTTCTGTGACATTTTGCAGATGGATTCCAACGGAATACTGATGGGGCAGAGCAAACATCATATGATAGGACCCAGTCTAAATCATTCTCAAACTTTCTCAGAAATTGGGTATTTCCTAATTTGAGAAGGTCTTCAAAGCTGTGGCTTCCTTGATTGAGTCTATCCACCTGGAATGCAGTTCTCATCTTTTCCTACATTACTAAGTATTATTGCATTTTCAAATGAATCATATGATCTAGGCTTGGGCGGTTTCGTTCGTTAATTTCGTAATTCGTTATTAATTCGTATTTAAATTAGCTTACGATCCAATATTGAGCCATGCAGGAATAGTGTGAGGAGTAAATTAGATTCGAAACAATTTTTTCAATTTATTTCGTAATTATTTTGTAATTATTTCGTAATTATTTCGTAATTATTTTGTAATTATTTCGTAATTATTTTGTAATTATTTCGTAATTATTTTGGCATGTCTGGTGCAAGTTTTATAGTTGTTGTTTGTTTTATCACACCAACAGTCAACAACAGAGGGAGAGGGAAGCTTCAGAAGTTCCCCCTGTCCCATTTGGAGGTTTTTTTAGCATATTGCGCAATCGCGTCCGCCATTAACGAATCGATTCGTAATTATACGAAATTTCGTATATTTCAAAATTTTTAAAAGGAAAATTTCGGAATTATTAAAAAAAACGAAATGCAAGGGCCCCCTAAAAACAAAACGAGTTTAGAACCAAATTTTTCCGTGGTTACCCAAGCCTAAATATGATCTCATAGTATGTGCCAAGTATAGCACTCTCAGTTAGTTGTCTTAGCTTTCAGGGAGAGTTCAGACTTGATTTGGATCCATCTATTTGTCTTTCTGGCAATCCATGCTATGCACAGAAGTCTCCTCCAGCATCACATTTTGAATACGCTGATTGTTTTTCCTGATCAGCTGATCAGCTTTCCTAATTGAAACTGGAAATACAATGTCATTGACAATTCTGACTTTACTATTCAATGATATAGACTTATACATGAAGATCTTGTCCTTTTCCCTCATAGCTCTTATTCCAAGTCAAAATCTTCTTCCTATTTATCTAACACAGTTTTTATTCTGATTTATGACTGAGTCAAGGTATGGAAAATCTTGAACTATTTCAACATCTTCATCAACTTCTTTAAATTTATTTCTTTATTTGCCATACTTTGATCCTGCCCTTCTCTACCTCGACAGGGGGACTCAAGTTGGTTTACAATGGCACAACATCATGCCTCAACACAATCACTTAAACATTTCAAAAATTGCAACATATTAAACAGAGTTAAAACAGATTAAAAAGGTTAAAAACTTAGAAAGCACGCCATCCAAGTTTACGGTCTGTATCCTTTCCCTTAAAGTTATGTAATTAATTAGTGGTCACTTTTTTCTTACATGTTCAGACATAATCCTGCCTTTGTGCTTTCTTCCTTGACTTTCTTCTATAGTCATTTCAGGTTTCTGCTATTTACTGTGAATAGCATGGGGTCATCTGAGAAATTATACCATCTGCTATCCCTGAAATAAGATGTCTCCCTGCCTTCCCAAGAGAGCTTTTAGCTTTATTTGATTCCTTGGGTTGTCACATTGATTATTTTATATCTACTTTAATTTTGAAATCAAATGCCTGTGACAAAAGGTGGAATTTGCATGATGTGTATAGATTAAATAAATCAACAAGGAGATTTCTTTCCCCCAGGTCATGAACTGACTTTTTCTACCTTCAGCTCCTTCAGCTTCATAGGAGCAGACTCTAGCAATCTGCAACTCCTTAAAGAACTTCTGAAAAATACTTTGGTCTATCAACTGATTAAATCATGAGAAGCTTATTAACTCTTTAATTAATTGCCTTTAAATAAATATGCATATTTTCAACAGCTAAAATGTAGGCACATTGTTCTTTTTAGAGCACCAAGAGAGATATAACTTTACAAGTTAATAAACAAAATGTATACTCATGATTTATTTTGTTTTTTGCTTTTTATTTTGCACATAATTATTTTTTCCTTTACTTGTGTACTTTTGAATAATTTCTGGATTATTCGGTTATTGAAATATGTGGATGCTTTTGATTATAGAGTTACTGTAATAAGTGGATTCGTTTTTTTTAAAAAGAATAATTTAAAATTAATTTAAAATTAAACCTTGCCTCATAGATTAATTAACAAAATAAACAACTGATTACAACTGCAATATAAGCAATGCATCTGGGAGTAAACCCCACTGAAATCAAGGAAGTAAATATGCACACATCGGTGCTGCATACTGATTAAAGATGGCTTTGTTTTGTTTAAAATATTTAATTGAACAACAGCATCATTCTAGAAAACTCTTGACAAGTCTTTGATTTTCTTTGATTATGATGAGCTCTGGTATGGATGGATTTCAGCAAGGCATGCAGTTTTAAACTCAACTTGTTCTCATCCTGAGGCTATTGGATTAGCTATTATGAAAACCTTAGAAAGCAATATTATGAAATATTGTGTTTTGTGGATTCATTTGATATATTCAACTGATTTGTTCAGCACTGTTGAACCATCTGAAAAGAATGGATAGTGAACTCCACTTCAGGGTAAACATTCCATTTGCCCTGTAATCCTACCAGTCCATTATCTTGTTAACAGCAAACAATGGGCGCATCTTGAAAAGTCGTGTTTCTCTGCATGCAGAAGGACATTTCAGATTAAATGAAAAACAAATCATGATATGTCTATTTATTTTGTTTCCTGATTTCTATCTACCTAGTACAAATGTATGGGACAACACCATTCTGGGTAAAAGTTACAAAGAGAAAAAAGCCCAGAAAGGAAGAAAAAGTATCCTCTTGAAAAGAATTGCTGGGATAAAGCCAACAGGTATCTAACTCTTATGTAATGTATTCTGCAATATCGGGACTTTATTGTTCTGATCTATATGCCTGAAGCAGATATAGTGCTTATGAATGTGTTTCTGTCCTCATCCATTTTGGTAGATGAAACCCATCTATGTCTTGGAGGAATGAGTGTATAAAGCTATCAACATTTGTCCAATATAGCCAACCCACTATGTAAGGTTGAATGTTAGGCTGGAATAAAAAGAGGTCTGCGTGTACAATGGGCTCACCATTATTTCCTGCTGGTACTACATCTTCTCACATATAGACATGCTTATTGCCCCCTTCATCTTTTTTCTGGCTTGAGTATATTAGGATAAAAGTGCATGACAGTAGCACTAGAAGGAAATAGATTTTTTTTTAAAAAAACCAACTGTATAGTAGGGTGGGTGGAGAAAATTGCCTGATTTGTATTTTAATACAAAAAGGCTTATCATGCATTTCTATGCGAACTGGAAAACAATAATCCTTTAGTTTTAACATCTGCCAGCATTTTGTGACATAATTCTCCAGCAGCGTGTGTGTATTAATTTAAACAAAAATGAATATAAATACACATATATTCAAAGGAGGCTTTCTGCTGAGTTGCAGATATTAGGGGTGAGTAAGTATATACAAAATGCACATGGATTTTTGTGCTTATGGAAATATGTTAGGAAATGCTTAAACAATTTATATTGACTTCTAAAATATTGAAAAATGAACACAGGAATGGAATAGAATGAAGGGGAAAATAACTGTGCATAGCTATGAGGGGTGTTCATTAAAGATTTCCCCTGAACCATGTCTATTTATCACAGGATGCTGAAACTGCACATGTGCCAATAGGTGACATGCCAATTTACAACTCAGAACTGTTAATGGTCTTGATTTTACAGGTGCTGAAGTGATGTGAGGTTTTATAATGGACCCAGTGGAATATAGGGCAGTCATCAAGTTCCTTTATTTGAAAGGCCACACACCAAAGGAGACGTTCGATGAGATGAAAGAGGTTTATGGTGATGATTCCCCATCATATGATGTAGTCAAGAACTGGCATCGTCAATTCAATTGTGCTCGGATTTCAGTGCAAACAGCTCCAATTCCAGGGTGACCCCATTCTGCTATTGACGAACACACCATCCAACAAGTGGAGATTGCCATTTTGGAAAATTGCTGTGTAACCATTCACCACCTAGACCAAAATGTCAAGATTACTGTGGGGTCAGTGGGAAAAAAATCATCCAACACCATCTGCACATGCATAAGGTCCCCCAGCTGCTCACACCTTTCCAGAAGCAGGAACGAGATGAATGCTCTCAGGCCCTATTGACAATATGCCATGGAAACCAGGAGGGCTTGCTCAATAGATTGATCACACAGGCTGAAAGCTGGGTCCATCATTATGATTCTGAGACTAAAGTCCAGTCGATACAATGTAAGCATCATGACTCATCACCTCCAAAGAAGGCATGTACTCAACTTTCTGCAGGCAAGGTCATGCTCACAGTACTTTGGGGCCAGCACAGAGTTGTATTGATGGATTTCCTAGCAAAGGGTACCATGATCACTGGGGCATACTATGCGTCACTGTTATGGAAATTATGGGAGGCCATCGAAACCAAGAGATGTGGCATGCTCACCAAAGGTGTCTGCTTTCTGCAAGACAATGCACTAGTTCACAGCTCACATGTTGCCCAAATGGAAGCATGCTCCTGTGGCTTTGAAATTCTACTGCATCTGCCTTATTCACCTGACCTCATACCATCAGATTCCCACCTCTTTCCAACAATGATGTTATTTTTGAAGGGCAAGCATTTTTCAGATGATGAGACTGATTTCTGAAGTCACAACATGGCTTTTGGAGCAACCTGTCAACTTCTACAAGAGATGTGTTTACAGTTAATTAAAAAGATGGAAGAAGTGTGTGTCACTAGGTGGCATCTATGTAGAGAAGGACTGATAACTGTGCCAAGTTTCATTACTCTCAGTCCACAGGAAGTGGGTCAAGGAAAATCTTTAAAGAACGTCCCTTGTACATTAACTCCCCTGAAGTCATTGGAGGCCCCCTCAAATGCCACCAATGAAGGAAATTGGTGTATCTTTTGCCATTTTTGATAATTTTTGGTCAGGATGGACTATTTTAAACCTAAGAAAGAGGGGGTTTTTTTGTAAAAGAGGAATTGAGCATACATTGATTTATTGTCTCTTGGGGACCCTAGGTGTCTACAAAATGCTCTGGAAACCATACTTTGCCCATCCTTGGCCTAGTGTATCCAATTTTTAAAAAATCTTATAGCGATTCTGTACTTAGTGTATGCTAACATTTTTGTCCATCGCTAATCTGTGCTGACTGTTGGTAGCTGGCTGGACCTCTCTGAAAAATTAAGACAGAATTTTCTTGAGCAAAAGAATAATATTTCTCTTCTATGAGTGACTGGCTATGGTTAGTTGACTTGGAGACCTTGCCTCTTAATTAAAACTCAGATTTATTTGCAGTCTTCATTTTTTTAATGCAAAGGAAAGGATTGTGAGCTTTTTTTGGCCTAAATGGGGAAAAATATGCCTACACTTAGGTGTTTATCCAGTTTCCTCAATATTTTTTAACCTCAGGAATGACACAATATGATTAGGCACCAAAAATTAGCTTTGCTTCAGTTGCAGTTGTACTGATAGTTGAAATGATTTTCTGTATTTGGAATAATCCTCTGGTTTGCAAAGTTGTATTTAGGTCATTAAAAATTGAACCCCTGAAGGAGACGGCGGATATAAATGAGCTCGACTTTCTTGTGCACCCTGACAAATACTTTGGGGAAAAGTCGGCTGAGAAGTGCTCTGAAGATTTAAAGCTGCCTACCCTTTCAGCAAGTAAGTAGACTTTTATTAAATTCCTATTACTCTAGCCCCCACTAAAGAGAGGCAAAAATAAAGGTCACCAGCATATCTCTTTTATAAGTGAAGTAAAGGTAATAGGAAATTCTTCAATTTATTCTTTAGCCCATGACTAGCTTCTGAGAAAGAAAAGCAAGTATGTGATCCAAAGTCATGAGCATGAAGTATCACATTACATTTGTTACATCTCCCAATTTAATAGTCAGGATGCTTTCAGAAATCATGTCTGGAGTTCAGTCATCACCTTTCACTGTAAGGCTACCGTTCCTGGCTTCATCCACTTCATGATATCCACATAGAGGCTTGAACTGGGGAGGTTTGTTTTATTAATGTAGGCTCTTCACATGGTTAGAAATTTGATTGCACTGGCTTCTCTCATTATAACCAACCTATATTGATAGAGCAGGTTCCCAATCTCAGACATTTCCCTCTGATATATGAACCATGGAAGCCATTGCCCAGCTGTCTGGGAAGAGTGGTAAGGCCAGTTAGTATAAACTAGTTATTAGATGATGAATGCAAGTGGAATATTGAGAGAGATTAGTAAAGATGAAGTAAGTGCAGTTCATTAGTTACAAACATCTCTCTAAGGCTGGTTTGAAGACCCCAGAGATACATTTCAATGATTGTAGCATTGTTTTCATTTTTCTAAATTTGGTGCTACCACTTGCACACATTTTTGCCTTGCCTATGCTCAGTTAATCTCCATTTTGTTTCCTAACTGAACACAGCCAGTCCCTAAAATGTAGAGCAAGTACAAAATGTGGCAAAAGGAGCATATCATTGGAAACAGCTATGTGACTATGTGACTATGTGATTATAATTAATGTTACTAATGTTTTTAATCTGCTATGTATTTATGATTTTACATTGTTGTTATTGATATTGTGGCATTGAATTGCTGCCTGTGTTATCTGCCCTAAGTCCCCCCCCCCCCCCCCCCCCCCGGGGTGTGTGTGAGAAGGATGGGATAGAAATGTTGTAAATAAATAATAAAATAAATAAATGTCATAGCTCTAGCAATTTTTTTTGTTGAGGGAAATCATTTTTAAAAAAATCAGGTTCACTGAAGACTGGCCCTCCAAGCTCACAACCCCAGACAATCAACCATTGCTTGAAAAGCACCAGGATAAGGAGCTGGAACTGATGAGCAAGACGATTTGCTTTGCCCCACTGTAATAGCATTTATCTTTGAAAAACATAAACTCCAAGTGGTTCAATTTAGGAGCTTTTTTCTTAATCTGCTTGTTGCATGGAAAGGAAGTATTTTGGAGAGAGAAGTCACAGAAACAGAGGAAGAGGTTAGCCTCCACCTCTTTGTACATTACAATTAAAATCTTAAAATATATCATGGTAGAAAAGAGGAGCTGCTTGGAAGATTTTTGTTCTTGTTGTTTGAGACTAGCATCCACATAGGAGGAGGAGTTTGGGAACTCATTGCTGGTCAAAGAAGGGTTAATCCTTTCCACCAGTTTTTAGCTGCACTTTTATGTATTTTTATTTTATGATTTCACTTTTTCACAACGTTGTATTTTATGGTCTTTATTATTGTCAAAACTGCAAAAGATGGTGAATAAGGTGCTCTTTCAACCACCTAATTGTGGCAACATCAGTGGAGGATCCAAGACATGTAGAGCATTGGTCTTTCTCATATAAACCCAGGCTTTCTATCTCGGCTCTGGAAGAAAATTGCTTCATGTTGCTGTGACATTTTCTTTTCAGAAACTGTAGCCTTCCCACTTTATACAAATTTGTGCTCAGGTTTCTTCACATGTGGAGCAATTTTCCATCTGATAGCATGATAGTTGGTGGTGATATAGATTGCAGGGTAAAAGAAAAGTTCTAGAAAGGAATAGATTGTTAGTGATTCATCATCTGTGTGAATTGTACTTGTCATTTTGGAATCCAGTTGTTTCTAATGAAAGAACAAGACCAAATAATTTCCATACACTCCACACATATACAGTTTTAGGTGATATTTGGAAGAAAAAAAAAGGAACTACGCTCATGTAATTAAATGGTGACTGTATGAATGAGAGTCCAAGAGTACAGGTCAGCAAATGCTCCTCTCAAAGGAAGGCGATCAAATGCTGAGCATATCCTGACACAACATGTCTGATTGGAAAAAATGGCAGTGCTTGATAAAGTGGAGGGCAGTGGGAAAAGGGGGGGGGGATAATCGTATAGGCAGATGGTTTCAGTAAACAAATCCATGGCTTTGGGCCACCACAAATAACTGCTTGAACAAGACAGTTATATTTATGGAAACTGGACCTTTCAATGGCCAAAAATATGGACAACTGTGCACATAAGGAAACATACACATGTGTGTTACTCCACAAGGATTCTGAGTGTTATGTTATGCTGCTACATGTGCCCTCCATTTTTGTGGTGGCTGGGGGCACAAGATCCCTGCAAAAGTGAAACAAATCTGAATTAAAATGCTCACTCTGGAGGACCTGCACATGCCTATAGAAGTGTTATCTCTAGGAATCTCTTGGTCATCCTCTTGCAGACACCAATCTTGTAGTCACGCCAGATTCCTGGAGAAAGCCTATTAATGGAATCCTCAAATATTGAAATCTACAAAACTTAAACCTACAAATGTGAAGGGTCATCTATATTTAGATCAATGTCATTCCATAAAATGACAGGGTGCCAAAATGAAACAGAGGAAGAATTAACCATCTTAGCACTATTTAAATCTTACACAGGTATAGCACATTCATTCTTTTTGCTTTAACCATAGGCAGTAATGGTACCAAGAGTCAATAGACACACATGGACTAAATACAATAATACTACCACATTACTATTCACCAGAATTATCAGAATTAACATTCATTGGAAGAACCATTTTGTGTGAAATTAAAAGGAACAATCCAAGCTATTGAACCTAGTTGGGGCATAGAAGAGGCTAGTATAAAATGCAGAATCAAGCTCAGAACAGATTCACTATCCCACTTGAAGTGGAAGACCGGTTCATACAGTAAAACTAAGCTACTGTAATTACTTATAATATGTCATTTCACTCTATATTGTAGCAGTTTCCATATTCTTTAATATTTCACAGGTGTGAATATAGGGAAACTCCTGTGCATGAGTGGGTGGGAGACAGTTCTAAATAGATTTTTTATTTATATGAGCCACCCCCTGCCATGCGTTGCTGTGGCCCAGTCTGTGTATATGTGTTTTGTATGTGTACATATTTGTGTATATGTGTATATACACATATGAGCACCAACCTCCAGAATTGAACACCACTGGACTTAATGTCAGGGGAAAACTTTTAGTTTCCCTGCGTGGTCACTGCAATTTACACATATATGGTAATATCCGGCGCTCGCGCCGGCAGCAACGGAAAGTTCACGAGACTAAGAAATCAGTTGGAGCAGCCCCTCCCGCCCCCCTCTCCTCTATAAATAGCCCTCCTGAGAGGTCGCGGTCAGTTCTTTAAATCCGCGCTAAAAAGGCAGCATCAAGGGAAGCGAGAAGACTTTAATAATGACTACAACTTCTTTCAAAAAGTGTGTTTCATGTCCGAATAAATATCCGGACAATGATGCACACACACAGTGTCTTGTCTGTTTGGGAGAGGAACATCTCTCCCAAGTTTGTGATGTTTGCAAAGCCTTTACACCACAAACTAGAAAAAATAGAGAATTGCGCTTAAAGGCAGCGCTATATGAGCAGGCTCTGCTCCCTCCGGTGGAGGATACAACTGATAGGGCAAATCCTATCGTTAAGAAGAAGAAAGTGATTAAATTGAATAAAATAAAAGCCAGCAAGCCCTCCGAAAGAGGTGAAGTGGCTCCAAATTCCCAAACAAGGAAGCCGCAAAACCCCTCTAAGGAGGGAGAAACGGCCATGCCATATAAACAGCCGAATAAAATGGCGACTGTGTCGCACAGTGAGGAGAAGAATGAAGGGGCGACCCCTCAATTACCTTCTGAAGCATGTCCAATACTCCAGACGCCATTGGGTGCTTCGGCATCAGCATCAGCTTTAGTCCAAGGCCCCTGCGATACCATGGCTTCGGTATCGGAAGCCCTTTCTTCATCAGCCAGGAGGCTGCAGACACCTCCTCGACGCGCTCGGGATCGAGCGCCATCGCGCAGCGTGGCAGAGAGCGGAGGACGCCGGCGTCGAAGCCGCTCGGCGCCGAGGGAAGCAAGCTCCTCCTCTGACTCCTCCTTTGGCTCCTCCCCTTTAAGGAAGCAAAGCAAGAAAGGGAGGGCTCAGGAGGACCCAGGAAGTAACTCCCGTTCTTCCAGATGGATGGATGGGCATAATCAACCATCGTCCTCTGCTGTAATCCAGGGGAGTCAAAACTGGAAGAATGGTGTTCATGACAGCCAATGCCAGCCACTGCCCCCGTTTATGCCCTATGGGGGTTTTAATCAAGGGGGTCAGTCCCAGCCTCTTCTTCCCTTTATGAGTCAAGGAGGCATGATTCAGGGAAATCAGTGCCAGCCCTCTCAAATGTTTATTCAAGGAGGGCAGTATCAACCCCCTCCTCCATTTATGAATCAAGGAGGTTTTTGGCAGATGGCGCCAAATGGACAAATGTTTTACTGTGGAGCACCTATGCTCACGCAATGGCCCTCATCAAATACCAATGTGACTACTGTGTCCTCTAGTGGTCAGACTCAAAAGAGGAAGACGCATTCTACTAAGGCTAAGAAGGCTCACACTTTAGCCTCCGAGCCAGTAATTTTGCAGGACCAGTTGTCACCCCTTGCACATGTTCAGGAGCCACAAGTAGATGAATGTCCATCCTCTGAGGAGGATGTTACTATTCAAGATACTTATGGGGAAATGGAGCAAGATGCTCTTAATGAAGAATACATGAAATTCACTTCATTAATAAATAGAATGGTCCGTGCACTGGATCTTCCAACTCCAAAGCAACCGGAATCAGTGGAAGACCCAATGTTCCCTGCAGAACAACAGGAGTCTGTGACTACGACCGCTCT